TCTCTTCTCCTCCACCACCTCCACCGTTCGCCCCCGTCGCTGCCAAAATTTGGACTAACCGCCAAATTGGGGACTGATATTTGGTCATCTGTCCATCTCACCTCCTTCTCTCTCTCCCCCTCTCCCCCTCCTACCACTCTCCCTTGATTCTATGCTTTTTTCAAAATTCTTTGTACTACACCATCCCCCTATCTTACAGTCAAATTCCCCAAATTTCACTGTCAAATTGGTAACCAATCGTTAAGAATCATAGAGGAGCAACAAAACTCAAATTTCTCAATTCCCAAAACTCCACAACAATTATGTAAGGAAATCCACCCGAATCTGAATATAATCCTATTGATATTAGAACTAAACTCAAACAAATGGCCAAGATTATCAACAATGGCTTTACAAACAACAAATAAAGCCCTACAGGCGATAGGGGAGTTGATGATGAAGCGGCAGGATATTGCAAAGAAGTGGGCAGCGTGGGCTAGGCGGAAGAAGGTGGCGACGAGGGCAGCATTGGGTGGCAAAGGGTGGATGGAGGTCAAAGAAGGAGTAAGAAGCCGAAGGAGGAGAGTGAAAAAAGGCTTATACAAATTAAAAAATTGAACCCACCTGGGGTCATAATCCTCCATAATCAGGAGAGGACAAAAATAAGTGGAACCAATTTTCTTGCGGCGGTGGTGGGTGGGTGGTAAGGGGAGGGAAAGTAGAGAATGGAGGTTGGTGAGTGAAATGGTGGTGGAAGAGAAAAGGGATTCCAGAGTGAGAGATTGGGAAGGGAGGAGATGGAAGTCATGGTGGAGGAGGAAAGAATGGCCGAGGATTCATGCTTCTGGCTGGCGACGCCGTGAATGGTTGTAGAGGGCGAAGTCGTCGACGATGGCCCTGAAATGGTGATCGTGAGAGGTTGTGGCGGGTGAAGACGACGGACACTGTTGAGAGAGAATGGATGGAGGTTGTCGATTGGAGGGAGATGACGGGTTGTAGAGAGAGAATAGAGGGAGAGAATTAGGGTTTGTGATGTTGGGTGAAATTAAATTAGTGTTTTGGACTGATTTGCATTTTTAAAAAAAGTTTAGAAGCAAATTGCAATTTGTTTTTTATTTTTTTTTAATTTTCCTTTTTTTTATTTAAATTGGAGGCTATATCGGTCATTTTATGTTAAAAATTAGGGAAAATGATGTTTTGCGCAATAAAAATGAAAGGTAGGGCCATTCTGCGTCAAGAAATGAAAGGTAGAGACGTTTTCCATAAAGACAGGCAAAGGTAGAAACGTTTTATGCCAATCACCCTTTTTAGAATGGAGGCATTGCTATTATGATGGCTTCCCAAACTGATGCCTAGTGACAAAAGTAAAATCATAACAAATCATCTCATATTTATTTATTGTTAAGCATGTTTGAGCCCCCTTTTTTTTTTTAGTAATGCATTTCAGAATAGTAAATTGATAGAGAATATGTAGTTAAAAAATAAGGAAAAAAATTTTAAATTTACATTTATTGTTATTGTATGTGTGATTGAAAATAAGAAAAAAAATTATTTTAAAAATAATGGGAATGTTACTAGGGCTAAAAAATAGAATTTCCAACTTCTTTTTTCTAGGCAATCTCAACATGGAAGATTTATGAATGCAAAGAGAATATGTAGTGTTGATGGAACATGATATAACATTTATATTGCCCTCAGACAGAAATAGAACTTTAAAATGAATTCTTCTGATTTTCAAACCTCTCCCTTGGACTAGTCTACTAGAATTAGAATTATCTATTCAGAATACCCTTTAATCACACAATACCCATAGTTTTTTTTATTTCTTTCGTGCATTGCCTTTTAAAATAAAGAAGAGAGTTCCATCGGAACAATAATTTAGCCCCTATTATGTGAGAATTAAAATAAGATTTTTAATAAATTTTGATAAAAAATAATAAAATGTGTAATTGGAAAGTTGTAAATTCCATTAAATATATGATTAAAATTCACTTTAACTTAAATTTTGGAGCACCTCATCTCTTCCCCACAAAAAAAGCATGGGAGAAATGGCAAGAAGGTATTAAAATATCAATCTGGCATGAATTCATTTTGGTCACATTATTCTGGAGCGAAATCCTAGAATGGCAGTGCAAAACTTGTGGGTATTCATATTAGGATCATGCTACAAGTATATAATCATTTACGTAATATATTACATAATTGACATGTGGCGCGCATCCATTGGTAGTTTACAATTTTTGACTTTTCCACACTTCATATCCACATCCAAATTTCTTCCACATGAGTCTATGTAATCTATTATATACAATAATTATGTACATATAGATTTATACTTCATACTCTAACTAGAATTGCTCATTTTTTTTAATCAAAAGCTTGTTATTTAGTTTTTGATGCAACTAGTAGGAAAAAACAATTCTTAATTGTTAGCACCAAAAAACAAAGCAACGAATTTAGTAGCACAAGCTTCAATAAGTGCTATGTGTCATTATGTTAATGAAATATGGCTCAAAAGTATGTTAACGAATTGCTCCACTATAGAAATGAGACTTCATAAGTTTAGGTATTCAAGAACAAAACAAAGGTGCACAAGCTTCATACACATGCAACGTTGAACATAAATTATTTTAACATAAAATTTATTCAAAAATAATACACTATACTTGAAATTAAATTTATTTACACATTTCATAACATAAATCCAATATTGTTCAATATATACCCTAAAAATACAAAGTTTTATACTTACCATAGCTCATATACATTGAAATTAGCATAACCATAATGTAATTAGCCCAAGTCGGCCTTAGAGTACCTTCAATAAGATCCTTCTCCAGCTCATCATCATTCACATCCTCACGCTCAATATCTTTTTCGTCTAGATAATTATTTTTCACGTTGTCTTGCATATTTTCAGCTTCAGCCAAACAATGCGATTAGAGTTATTTGAGATTAGAAGAGTTAATAATAAATAAATATGCAACATGTTAATTTAGTTTAGAGCATAGCTTACCTAATGCTGAATCATTAGTATCAATGTAACATTTCCTATACATCTCATACCAATTTTACGGATTATTCCATCATTTTTGTAATAATTTCAAATAGAGCACCAGGTCGCATGTCTGGACAAAAAATTTTTCCCTTAGCAAGCCTCTTGAAAGTGAGAAACCCTTTTGCTATCTTCCACCAAACCCATAAATGTAATACAACTAGATCTGAATCTGGTTCTATCACGGTATAGATTGTGATCTGAAAATGAACAAATCGGGTTGTTGGTATATAATCAAGATTAAAATAGAAAACATCAAACTTGTAAGCAATAAACTACCACAAGTAAATTAACCAATAGTACTTTATTAAGTGGGGGTGGGCAAATATCAGTTCAGTCAGATTTTCTTTATGAGCGGACCAAATAAATTTCAGTTTAGGAGTTTTCACTGTAGTTGTTGATTCAAGATCTATTCACAAGAGAAAAAAAAATATATACGAAAATGACAATAGATAATATATGATTTATACCATAAAGGATAGGGAAAACAGGCGAATTAAACAGCCAGAAGATCCGCATCTTATAATTGTTAATAAACTAAGACGTACCACATCAAAGAAAAGTAATAAAAAGACATTATTCCAAACCTAAGAGGAGCGATCTGTTACCTCGAATGAATTCTGATAGGGTCTTTCACCCAACCAAGGTTCTCCTCACGAATCAAGAACTCCGCCGCTTTCAGGCTCTGATCTTTGCCACAAGAATCACCGCACAAGGCAGAAGACAACCTTCAAGAACCCTTCAGAACTACACTTCTCCAAAGGAAAAATATGAGAGAACTGTATCAAGAGGAGAATGAAAATGCAACTTGAATGGAGTTAATTGTTTCAGTGGCCACTGAACTTCATACCATGTCACGGTTTACCCACTGAACTTCATCAATTGTCCAGTTGGCCACTGAACTTTCCTCCGTCCATCTCCATCACTCACTCGTTTGAATCTGTTAGTAAATGGTCCTACATGGCAGACGGAAAATTGACGTGGCAAGTTAAATCTATACAAATGTAAAAGTTTGCCAACTGGAATTCCACCTCGTCCCAAAAGCTTGAAGTCAGTTAACCCGTTCCCAATTCTCTCTCGCCCTAACTCCTCAACGAAGAAGACGATGGAAATCCCCAAATTAATTGTCCAAGCTCCATCTCTAAAACCCTACGAATGACTATGAAATTCACCCCAGCCCACCTCTAAACCCATAGCCCCAATTTTCCCCAAAAGTTGAAGCACCACTAAACCCAGCTCGTCTATTGGAGTAACCAATTTCTGATTGACTGAGTTAGTGGCATGCTATCGAAGGTGGAATTGTAAAGGTAAAATCTGGGACTGCCTAATTGCTGCAATAGCACCCGTCTCAGTTGCAGAAGAGACAAGGGCAATCAAATTTTTAGCTACCATAAAAATTGTGCGGGTAAAATTTTTTATCGTGAAATGG